ACTCGCTTGATGAACAGGGCCAGGTATCGTGGATCGCCGTTGAATGGTGTGATTTGCCTTAGTTGTGAGAGGCATTGTCCAAGTACAGCCTCCGTCAAGGCAATGCGTTGCACTGCTCCAATAGCTCCGTTGTTGTTGTTAGCCATTATAATTATGCCTTTATAATGATGCCTTTATACTCGTATACGAGTTGTCCGAGTTTGCGGGAAATTTGTAATTTCAAGAGTTGGTATACATAGCTTCGATAACATTATGATAAAATAATGTTATTACATATGTTATTGTTATGCTTCTGTTAAGCTGCTGATTATGTTACTCTATCGCTGAGTTTGTAGGACTCAGCGTTGTCTTAATTCTATTTATAAGTACTATCGCGTTTCTAAGATCCTTTTTCCGTCGCCTACGTGACCTGTGTGCAGCCGTCATTAAATTTTATTGCTGCACAAAGGATCGCCTAAACAAACAGAGGATCGCCGCATGTGGCAATCACACATGTCACCAGATATCCTCGGCGTCTATCTGCTGAAGGTCCGTGACGACAGGTTCTCATGATCATGCTAGTGCCTGAACATTCTGCGGGGGGCAGGAAACACGACAGCTAGTAGCTCCTGTCTCTGATTCCTCTTTTTCTTCGCGAAAATTATTATCCCATCTAATATGATTATCACCAAGCCTAACGATATGTGTCCATTTACCGTGTGAAACACCAGATCCTCCATGCGCACTAAACTAAACCGAAACTTCAACAAACCACTGCAGGAACAATGCACCATCAGGTACCGCAACAGAGGCCAGAAATGACTGCTCAGCAGCCCAATGCGAATCCATCCCAATTGCCTAGTGGAATTGAATCAATTCTGGCAACTCTCACCAATACAATGGTAGCAATACAACAAACGATGCAGGAAATTATGCGCAATCAAAATCTCCTCCTGGAATTACTTATCAAATAGAAATCTAATTAAATGGTCTCTCTAAAAATATGTTTCTGGAATGCAAATGGCATTTCACAGCACAAATGCGAGCTCTTGCAGTTCCTCGATCATCATGACATTGACGCCATGCTCATATCAGAGACTCACCTAACGAACAAAAATTATTTTCATCTCAATGGCTTCAACTTCTAAGCGACAAACCACCCCGATGGTAAGGCTCATGGAGGTACTGGCATTCTTATAAAGCATCGCATCAGACACTATCCGCTGCCATCATTTGCTACAACTTATTTACAGGCCACAACAATTCAAATCGAAACTCAAAGCGGCTACTTAAGCATACCCGCATGTTTCTGAAGCAGAATTTGTAAAATTCTTCGATCTGTTAGGTGACCGGTTTATAGCAGCTGGTGACTACAATGCCAAACACACCCATTGGGGATCCCGACTCATCACCCCGAAAGGAAGACGACTATATAACGCCATAATAACACCAAGAAACAAGCTTGATTTTAGTTCTCCAGGCTGGCCTACATATTGGCCCACAGATCCAAAGAATCAACGCGACTTGATAGATTTTGCTGTTACAAGAAGAGGGCCACAGGCTCAGATTCGTGTGGAGCACTTATCAGACCTATCATCGGATCACTCGCCGATCCTTCTGCACCTTTGTGACCATCTACAGTTATTGGAACGTCCACATTTTCTAACTTCTAGAAAAACAGATTGGCTTAAATACAGGAAGTACGTAAGTTCCCATATTGATGACTGCCCTAGCATTTATTGCAAAAATGACATAGATACCTCAGTTGAAGCATTAGTGTCTGTAATGTCACTGGCGGCAAAACATTCGACTCCAATAACTACAGCTAATAAACTTCACAAATGCAGCCGTGTCCCCAGGCACGTTGAAGAGCTGCTTCGCAATAAGAGAAAACTTCGGCGGGAGTGGCAAGCCCACAGATCACCTGAATCGAAGGAGCGGTTAAAAATAGCCAACCATCTACTACGCAAAGCCCTAGAAGATGAAAAACACCGAGCTCAAATGGATTATATGGAGCAACTCTCCCCAAACAGCAAACAATTCCCATTGTGGAAATCTAAATCAGGCGTATGTCCACCAATCGACAGTGAATCACCATTACGTACACAAAGAGGAAAGTGGGCTCGCAGCAACGAAGAGAAGGCAAATCCTTTTGCCGCCCATTTAGAAAAAGTCTTCAAACCACATCCAGCAACAAATAGCTTTGTGCTCCCACCAACCAATTATCTTGAAGCTACCACGCCTATCGTATTCCAAGCAGGAGAAGTTTCAAGTGTGATTAAGGGCCAAGTTTCAAAGCAAAAAAAAGCGCCGGGCCACGATTTAATTTCCCCCAAAATGATCATCGAATTGCCGAGCTGTGCAGTATATCTTCTCACCATTATTTTCAACAGCATGACGAAATGGGGTTTTCCTCAACAATGGAGAAAATCTGTCATCAAAATGATCCATAAAGCTGGAAAGACCTATCAGTCTCCTGCCGTGTCTATCAAAGATATTCGAAAAACTGATCCTGAATCGCATCAAACAGCACCTACACACCAACAGTGCAATCCCATTGCACCAATTTGGTTTTCGCGAAAAACATGGAACCGTTGAACAAGTCAACCGAATAACCTCTGAGATACGAAATGCATTTGAAAAACGAGAGTATTGCTCCGCTGTTTTCCTGGATTTCGCCCAAGACTTCGACCGCGTTTGGCTGGATGGCTTAATTCACAAAATCAAAATATTACTTCCACAGAACATCCACAAAATACTGGAGTCATACCTACAGCAAAGAAGTTTCGCAGTTAGATGCATAGATTTACTCTCCGAATACCATCCAATTGAAGCTCCCAAGGGAGCGTGCTTGGACCAACACTGTATATTATATACACAGCAGATATACCGACAAACAGTCGTACAACAATTTCGACATTTGCTGATGATACTGCCATCCTAAGTCGCTCCAAGTGCCCAAAAAGAGCTACAGAACTTTTATCATCTCACCTCGTGGCCATACAAGAATGGCTAGCAGACTGGCGCATACATGTAAACGAGCAAAAGTGCAAACATGTCACCTTTACCCTAAACAAACAAACCTTTCCTCCATTGTCGCTAAACAACATCAATATTCCACAAGAAACCGGAGTATCATACCTTAGTGTCCATTTGGATAGACGGCTTACTTGGCGTGAGCACATCAAAAAGAAGAGAGATCAACTAAAACTAAAAGCTATTAATCTACATTGGCTGATAAACGTCCGTTCACGACTAAAACTGGAGTACAAAGTACTCTTGTACAATGCTGTTCTCAAACCAATTTGGACATATGGCTCTGAATTATGGGGAAACGCTTCCATGAGTAATTTAGAGTTAATCGAGAGAGCTCAATTGAGGATACTGAGAACCATCACTGGGGCACCCAGGTACATAAGAAGTGGTAATATCCGCGAAGATTTAAATGTGGGATCTGTTAAAGATGAAATCGCCAAGGTGAATGCAAAGTACCAGCTTAAGCTTCGGAACCATCCGAACAGACTTGCACAGAATTTAACTTGTCAGGCTAGCCATACACGACTTTAAAAAAAAAAAAAATATTTTGTACGCTAGTACGGGTACGAAGTGCATCTGCATAAGAGATGTTCTTTGCACCATATTTACCGTTACAAATTTTTGCTGTTATTTCGGATTGCTGGCACGTTTTACTGTATTTATCTTTGGCCTTCGTTGCTCAGTTTTAGCTTTGTAGGTGCGGCATTCCCTAGACCAAGTCGGGTGACTATCACCGCAATTGATGCCGTAAAAAAGTCCATCGATGTTTCCCAGTTGCGCCGTTGCGTGGTCTTGTGCACATTTTCCACAGAAGAATGGCCTTCAACAATAGTTTTTCATATGCCCAAAACCTTGGCATCTGTGGCAGATGCATCAAGATTATTTTAGGTATTTCAACAATGAGTCTTTGATGCCCAATTTGATCAATTTCGAGGGCCTTATTCGTCTCCCGAGTAAGATCTATGAAGAAAAAGTTGTTGGGCATAAGATCCTTCACAACATCCCCACTTCCTTTACGGGCCAACTTGCGGGGTGGAGGGTTGTAAATGATGACACTATGTCCATGCCGCCTGAATGTCTCTTTGATATGATTCTTAGGGGTTAAGCTTGCCAGAATGGGAACTATCAACTTGTAGGCCATGTCCTCTTTCAGTTGATATGAGTAATGGTGCGCATTCTTTTCTCATTCATAAGAAAACTTACTGGGCTCGATAAGAGGCAGAGTTCTCTACTTATCTCTAACTTTGCCTCAATTGCCGAAGTGGTAGAAATAATTGCTGGTGACGTGTACGACATCCATTTCAGCCTCCATTAGGATCACACTCGATACATCCTCAATGTTGATAGGGGCGGTTTCCGCGATCTGGTTTCTTTGTTGCCAGCATTTTGCTCAATTTTTATTTCATCAGCGAGCGCCTCGGCATGAATGATCTTCTAGTAGTGCAAATTTGTTATTGTAATTCCATAAAGCGTCTTTGGTGAGGTTACTGGTCTCTAAATGATAGTCAAGCAATCTTTTCCGCTTTGCTTTGACGATTTTTCTACTTTGCGTTTAGGTTTTGGTGTCTGCCAGCTAAGTGGTTTCTGACATTCTTTTCCTACTTGAGTAGTAGAAAGAGCATCTTTATCACATGGAGGACTGATTGCATTTAAGTAGTTGTAGCTATCCAGTTACTACAAGAGGTTGGAGGTTTTGCGTATTGTTGTCCAATTGACTTGTGCAGGTCCCTGGCAATCTTGGACCCCAGCACTGTAGGTGATTCTCCAGCTACCTTGCTTATCTTATCATACTTGCAGCTTATTGTAAAGCTGAGAGTGAGTGGGGGAATTATCATCATCCATTTTGGTTATTAAAATACTCGGCATCTGTACTGTACAAGAAAAGCTCTGGGCTGTCTCCGCTTCGACGACGTATGTACCCGGATTCGTATATAAGTTTGCCAAATAGAAATGTGGCACTGAATTTTTGTTAAATTTTTATGTACAATTTCATCTTCAACGCGCTCATCATCCGGTTGCGGTGCATCTGATTTTTTGGGATCGGCATCTGCTGAGCTTGTTATGTCCTGTGAACCCGCATATATTAGTCATACGTTGGGGCGCTTTGATTATTTGATTTGCTAGCGATATTACCTGTACTGGCTTCTTAGATTTGCCAAATTTATAGTAAATGACGATAACAACTAGCGCCACAGTGGCTACTAAACCAATGGCCCAGGCCGTGGGATACGTTTTGGAGAACTCGAGCACTTTATTTACCAATGAGTCCTACAAAAATGAGATATAGCAAATAGCAATACGGGTGCAATAAAATGGTGTGATAGAAGCAATGTCTTTCTAGTTTTAAAGCGTGTCTAAGTGCAGTCAAAGCATACTACATATATCGATACATATGAACATGTATAAATATCGAAATGGGGCAACCTCTTTGGCGCGTCGGTACAAATAGAAGATGTAACAGCTCGCTGGTATGAGCAGGTAGAGAAAATATAAGGCCCACCATCCGGGCTTGTAATTCATGCGGCGCATCAGACGATGCCACAGAGTTTTATTCGGTTGTCAGAGTTATGTGGTAAGGTTTTGTGAATGTATTAAGAACAACTTACCGACTCTCTATCAATATATTTGCGTTTAATATCGAAACTATTGGCAGCAAATTCACGGGCCACATCCACATCATCGGTAATGATCAAATTGTCAAACAATATGTCACTGGACATGGACCAGAGCTCAAGACCGACGGCGTTCTGAAATAGCAGGCAACCTTTATAGAGTCATATAGATCTCTAAGATGATGTGCAACTCACAATTGGCGTCATTTCGAAGGGCTTAAGATCCTCATAGAAATCGGGATTGGGTATTTTGCGTGGCGCCCATTTGCCCTGGTAGTTGGGGTTGTCAATCATCGGTGCACGCCATTTACCCTTGTATTCCTGATTCGGGATGAGTGGTGCTTTCCATTTGCCACAGCCAGCAGCCTTCTCGCACGCTGGATTGTCCACAAGGGGTGCCTCCCATTCGCCATCGATTTCGGCATCCCAATCGTCTGGTTTCTGTGCTGTCGGGTTTGGTATCAAAAGTGAAAGCATTTATTGTTAGTTTACCAGTGAATGACCGCTACATAAACCAATCGATAAGCTACGCTAATGAGGCGACAACGCACGACAATGACAATAGGAATGGGTAAAAATAGTTACCACCCGCACCACTTCACCATCACTCTTATCTGACACACACACACACTCATGAATACACTTACTTTGGTTTGTTGCAATGCTTCTCGCTGATGGTGCCGATAATTGGATTAACATGACGGAATATGAAATGCATTTTAATATCGTTGCCGCACTTGTCCGGTCCAAACATAATAGTATAGGGTGTCTTGTCATTAAACTACAAAAAGGAAAGCCAAAAGATTGACAGAGTGATGAATTGTAAAACAGGCGGTTCGGGCTTACTGTGGTTAAATCTTCTGTTTGGCTGCCCGCTGATAAAAGTTTGATATATGAGCCGCCGCACTCTTGACCCTCCTGCAAAAAAAAAGAGCGCGTAGAAAGGAATATGAAATTGGGTCAGTCAGTAACTGTTACTTGCTATTAATTGGATTAGCCAGACAGCTTAGCCAAGACTGATGGGCTGATGCAATCGACTCAGCCTTTGCAATCATTTACACACCTGCAACGTGACCTCATATTGCACCACCAATGGTTTGTTTTCTTTGAATGTGAACTGCTTGTGCAAGCGTGCCGAAATGGCGGCATGTTTGGCCTTCGATTTGAGCACGAAGCCCTTATCCTTGGCCCAGACAATGCGCTGTGGAGACTCCCAATTCCAGACACCATCATATTTTGCGATTTCCTCGTCCTTCTTGGCCTGCGATTGAGTCCACAATTTGCGTGAGGCCTCAACATTATCGAAGTGGTCGGCAAAATGGAACTTCTTGGTATCAATTTGCGGACTCTCATAGACGAGCTCCGCATCTCCAGCAGCTACTGTTGCCCCGTCATCCTGTTGAAGATAAAAAACCCAGCTGATAAGCACTGATAGATATCCAATGGTGTGATAAAAATATAAAAAAACACGCGGTACCGCTTTGACATACTTTTTTTTTTCTCAGCTGTGTGAGAGCGAGAGAGTTAGACACTTGCGTAAGTTAGGTTATAGTTTGTCTCAAAGCAATCACAGTAAAAAAAAACGCGGTCGACAAACTTGTTAATTGGACTATAAACTTTATGTACAATGCACGTTTTTATTAAAACAAAATGATTTTTTGTAAATGATCTTTTTATCTACATATACTTGTATATATATACATATATGTGGGGTTCTGTTTATTGGTTAAGCTGAATACTTTGGATACATTATAATATTTAAAGATTTAGGAATACAAAAGTTGTTAAACATCATTAAATTTCATTGGTTCGTAATCGTTGGCGGACCGTCTGTCCTTTTCTGCGTAAGCGAAAACTTCTTTTCGCCGTTCATGGACCGTCTCTCCTTTTCTGCGTCTTAAGCGAATATTTCTTTCCGTCTGTCCTACGCGGCGAACTCTCATCGACTCTTGTCCTTCTCGACGAACTCTACCCGAATGTTCCACATGCCGCCCGTCATAGCGTTGTGTTGCACTTCTTGCCGAAGTTGTTGTCGCCTCCCGTTATTTCGCCGTCGATCACCTCATAATTGTCGCCTCCGTCGTTTTGTAGTTTTGCAGTTTTTCTATGGTGCTGCTGTACTTATCGTTGTCTAGGGTGGTTATGTTTATTTGCTTATGTTTTACCAACCAACCCACATATATGTATATTAGAGAGCTAGGACGTAAAGTACAATAAATACTATGTATGGTTATATGGAAATACATACATATGTATATTTATGTATATATAGTAGTATGATAGGGATAAATCAAGGCAAGTAATTACTGCAATTAAGGCAAGTAATTATTAAAAGCTGTACAATTTGGCAAAGTTATTTGGTAAACTTATGCAACATTGAAATAAGCATACACACATATGTATATACATATATCATAATTATTTCTTCTTGAAAAGTTACAAAAATACAACGCAGTTTATCTTGTAGTCTTTCTCAGAGTTAAGAAATAAACCAAGTTTAAAGTTAATCGGATTTCTAATTTTCTAAAACGACTTCGTGCTGCTCACCCACACTTTGACAGCTTTTTAAGGCTTACTTACATACCCACATACACATGTACATAAATACATACCATTTTTTATAGCCTGTACCCAAAAGAAGGAGGCGTGGCAGACCCCACAAAGTGTATAGCCATGTCCGTCTGTCCGTCCGTCCGTCCGTCCGTTCGTCCGTCTATATAAACGCAAGGATCTCAGCAAGTACAAAAGCAAGAATAACCAAACTTGTTATCCAGATTCTCCTAAGTCCGAGTAAGGACGAGTTTGTGTTTTTTTTCTGATACACCCCCCCCCCACTCCCCTCCAATTCATGTTTTTTATAACTCCTGTAATTCTTGGAATTAAAATTTGGCATATACATACAGTTAGTGATTATGTGTCCGTATGTTAAGTTTCATCATGATCGATCAATTCTGAAGCATGTTATAGCCATAAATAAAATCGCTGCCCGCAGCTGTTGTTGCTGCTTTGGTTCAACTTTGTACTGCATACATACACGCATACAAACACGCAGAGACACGATTCTGATATAAATGTATGCTGTTGAAACTGTACATGAACATATCTGCACTTTTGTATAAATGTATTGAAAATTTTGTATTTAATTTAATTAATATATATTTTTTTAATTAATTAATTTTTTTTCATTTTTTCCTTTTTAGTGGGAGGTACAGGGTATTTAAGAGTTGAGCCTGCTCGACTGTAGCATTCCTTTCTTGTTTCGTGCACCAATAAAGGCCCATTGCAAAATAATGGGTTGAAAAATCTGATTTATTATACAAATACAAACTACTATACGACCATACATATATGTATGTACATAAACATATATCTACATAAAATTCATACATATGTACATATGCATAAATATATAAATAGATTGTGACATTGAGGGCTAGTAGTTTCTAGAATTAAACACTGTACAATTTAAAACCACATGTACATTCATACATATTTACATTTTATTAATTGATGCAGGTGCTATCTCTCCTCATATGCATGTACATACCTGTACATCTATATATATAAAACAGTTCGACCTGACTGACTGACTGGTTGGTGATCAACGCACAGCCCAAACGGTAAAAGCTAGGAAGCTGAAATTTTGACTTAAGTATCCTTTCAAAGTGTAGGTGCCCAAAGGGGGGAAAACGAGTTCCAAAGTTTGTTTGAAAAATCCGCATTTTTTAGCCGATCGAAAATGTCTGAAATCAATAAAACAATACAAAGAAAACCGCATACTCGGTTTTTTACATTTTTTGTTGGAGCTGGAATTATTGGGGTTTTCTTGGGCCACAAAAGGAAACCGCATCAACAGCCCACAGCCAATCGGTAAAAGCTAAGAAGCTGAAATTCGGGCTCAAGGGTCCTATCATAGTGTAGGTGCCCACTAAGAAGGGATTTTGGAAAATCTGAGCTCCAAAGGGGGGACAACGAGCTCCGAATTTAAATTAAATTAAAATTTAAATTTAATTTTTATAATCTATAAGAGAATACAAACAAAACTTCATACTCGAAATTTGTGGTGGAGCTTGATTTATTGGGGTTTCAATATTTATTCACCTTTTCAAATGAAAAGTTTGTGTTATACATTTTTTCCGATCGATTTCAAATTTGGGTAATGCAATCTACGTAACTAAATCTACAATTTTGCGTTCAAGGATTTTCAAAATATGCATTCTACAGATGCAGGCAGAACAAACAATACAAAATATCAAACAGTTAGGGACAACTAAGTATACATACACACACACACACACACACACACACACACACACAAGGCACCAGGCCCCGACGCAATCCCAAACCGGGCACTTAAGCTGGCACTTGCGTTGCATCCCAGCTCGTTCGCAGCACTTTTCGAAAATTGCTTGAATTCAGGTGTTTTTCCGGACTGCTGGAAAGTCCAAAAGCTGCTATTGCTCCCGAAACCAGGTAAACCACCTGGAGAAGCATCATCCTATAGACCGATCTGCCTGCTGAACACGGCGGGGAAAGTGCTAGAGAAGCTTCTCTGCACGAGACTGGAGGCAGCCCTAAGCAATGCTGGCGGACTATCCCCAAACCAATATGGATTCCGCAAGGCGCGTTCAACGATTGATGCCATCGGAAAAGTGGTCGAGATAGCCGCTAACGCTATTTCAGGGACGCGCTGGAAGGGTGGCACTAAGAAGTATTGCCTGGTGGTTACGCTGGACGTAAAAAATGCTTTTAACTCGGCCAACTGGATATCCATACTTAACGCACTTGGAGAACGAGGTATCCCCGCGTACCTCTACCAATGTATTCGCAGCTATTTTAGAAATAGGGTGCTAATGTATGAAACGTCGACTGGCACTAAGACGTATAAGGTCTCTGCAGGAGTGCCCCAAGGCTCTGTACTGGGGCCTCTCCTGTGGAATACAATGTATGACGGCGTCCTGCGGCTAGAGCTACCAGCAGGTACAGAAGCGGTCGGATTTGCAGACGACGTCGCGGTAGTAGCGGTTGCAAAGGATCTGGCAGCCGTCGAGGACAAATGCAACGTAGCCATCAGAAGAATTATAGCCTGGATGAGCACAGTGGGCCTAGAACTGGCACCACATAAATCGGAGGCCGTTTTAATAAGTAGCCGCAAAGTGGTGGAGGTAGCGCACGTCACCATAGGCAACCTGGTGTTGGCGTCCAAGCGTGCAATTATGTACTTGGGCGTCATGCTAGATACTAGGTTATCCTTCCGAGAACACCTCGCCCATGCTGGGAAGAAAGCGTCCACGATGGCGCGATCTCTGGCGCGCATAATGCTAAATACTCGCGGTCCCAGGCAAGGAAGCAGACTTCTCCTAATGGGAGTCACACGGGCAATGATGCTATACGGATCTCCCGTCTGGGTTGAGGCCACGAAAACAAAGAGTTACATAAAGCCATTGGAAGTAACATATCGCCTTGGCGCTTTGCGCGTATGCAGCGCGTTCAGGACCGTGTCGGACGACGCAGCCCTGGTCATCGCGGGTATGGTGCCTATAGACCTGTTGGCAAACGAGGCCGCCACTCTTCATCGGAGCACGAGAGCAGATGGCACGAGCGCGACGGTGATGCCCTCACTGCGTAGGGCTTTACGCTCTAACGCGAGGCAGGAAAGTCTACGGGCATGGCAAGAGCGATGGAATGTCTCCTCCAAGGGCCGCTGGACGCACCATCTGATTCCAGATATTCAGGCTTGGGTCGGGCGGAAGCACGGTTTCGTCACTTTCCACCTCACGCAGATTTTGAGCGGCCATGGGTGCTTCCGTAGTTACCTGTCCCGCTTCGGACATGACGACGGAGAAGAATGCACCTTCTGCAGGCGCGGGGTAATAGAGGACCCACATCACGTGACCTTTGTGTGCCCCAGGTTTGAGAGAGCAAGAAGTCACCTCAACAACTGGCTAGGTGAACCCGTGTCTCCATTGAACTTCATCAGCAACATGATAGCGGACGAGCAATTATGGAATGTCTGCTGCAAGTTTGCAGCCACAGTCATGGGGGAGTTGCGCAGACTTGAGCGGGAACGACATCGAGGCGAGAGGTAGTCAGGTCGACGCCCGGGCGAAGCAATGCTCCACGGCCGTACCGCCTGGGCGCGGGCTTGTCTCAACCACTTCTTCACAACCTTCTCTTTACTCCTCTGCTCTACATCATATTACTTGTATATCCTTTTCTTTTCTTTCAATAAACGAATTAAAAAAAAAAAAAAAAACACACACACACACACACACACACACACGCACTGGGTTCTTAAGCGAGTTTATATAAAGGCCGGACGGGCTATATTCCAACCCCTACCGCATCGGCGGTGCATCCCAGTGGGGCTCTGGTGACCGAGCAGGGGCGGGATAACCCCCATCCCGTCAAGGAGAAATACTTGGCCATCGAGGGAACTCGCCACGAATCCGCCTCGATGACCGACATGCAACGGCATGGGCTACAGAAAGTGGCCCCCACCGACCAGCCACCAGGCGTACAACCGGCGCAACCTACGGTCTACCTGGAGTCGCCTCTTTCCTTTACGCATGGCGCGCCTTTGGCAACCCTGGGTGAAGAATTGTGGCTAAAAACCAACGAAGCGGTAGCAGGCGCGAATCCTTTCGCGCGTAGGTCTCTGGTGGCCAGATCCCCACCAAAGTCTGCTCCACCGTCCGTGACGCTCCACAGCTACCCCCTCTTGTGTCCATCTTCTGCTTCTTCGTGTGCAGCAAACGCAGCCGAGCCGGCGAATACGCCATTCTCGACACCTCTGGCAGCGCCTTCATCGCCTACGCCTTTGCCGATAGTAGTGGCGTCTAGCGGTCCCCCAGCCTAACCAACCACCGCCCAGGCAGAGATGCAGGAACTGGGCTCCCACCTGCAGGCGGTGTGCCGTCTTTTCGAGGGTCAAAATAAGCGACATGTCAACCAGCAGGATAAGGAGATTTTTGCTGAGATGCTGAAGCTGCACAGCTC